GATATCCCAACTCCGAAAACTCGTGGGAGTTTGAGGCGCCACTTCGGCAAGATTGCTCAGTCGCCGTGGACACTTTTGATCGGAAAAATCAGCACATCCCGCGTCATCAGACGCCATGCGCTTCCCGGCAATAGCCAGGGAAGTAGACGTGTCATGAGCTGAGCTCAAGCAGTGGCCCTGAGCTCTTTCGGTCGAAGACACAAAGCTCGCGGAAGCATTAGGGGTTGACCCATACGTCACAGGGCGACAATCCGAAGGAAGTCGACGGCGTGCCTTGACCTTGGCAAACTCAAAGCGGAGGTGTCGCTTCACACGCACGTCCACTTCCTTGTGGATCAACTGTAGGTTATACAGTGAGAAAAGTTTCCGTTGCCGTTACACCCATCGCTCAAAGAGCGTTTCATCACCTGTAGCGCTTTCGCCAGGGGCGAGCACTACAGGTATTGTCCGCATTGCGGGTAGTCGAGAGCCACCTCGTTGAGCACGTAGACGAGTGCGATAAACGCCTAACGGAATTTCTTTTGGAACCAAAAAACGAGCTCGGAGAGCTTTCCTCGTGGCAAGTTCATCATCCGTTCTGGTCGGGGGTCTGATGATGTGGAGGCGTAACGATCGACTTACCGCGTCCTTCGCTTCCACAGCGGGATCCGCTGGTTCGTATTTATGCTGAAAAATCAAGAGCGCCAATCCTTTTAAAATTGTGTGCCTTTCCTGCATACATCCAGTCGTTACATGCTTTCGTATACATATTGCTGACAATACAAGCAGATTTCTCTCACCTCGTTCCTCTCCATCAACAACGATAACCTTTCAAGTCTATCGCATCTTGAAAATATACTCAGTGCCATTGTTAGCATGTTTTTTAAACCAACTTTTAAATGTGACGAATACATCTATCTATATATATCTACATAGCCTCCAAATCGATTCTTGTCTTGCGTATTCTGCTGGTTGTCTCACTGATGAAATTTCGGTGGCTGCGTGCGTATTGAATATATTAGAGTAGTTGCTTTTGACTCCAATCATGTCAGTCGCTATGTCCGCGTATATCATCTTATCAAGTTGTATTTGTATGATGTCGCGCCATAGTTAAGAAGGTTCTTGCCTCCCTGAAGAACAAAGCTTTGTCTTTCTGTCTATATTTTTAAATAAATAAATTCTTTTTCCCCATGTTTGTACATTTGTTGCCATTTCTGAATGTCCTTAAAAAACGCTCTTTTCTAGCTTATATTGTTAAAGTTCCGTGAGCCAGCAACAACTTTGGCACAAGAATTTGTATCATAATTGATAGACTCAGCGAATGACCAGGCGACAAGCTTACGGACATTATACACACCCTTAAATACAGCTACAGAGTGTATCAACCAACGTCAAATCTATATCAGTAGAAACATATCGTAGTGTCATTTAAGATTCATAAAGTGCACGAATCGTTCTGATGTTCGCAAACAACTGGTTTTAAAAGCATCATTAGTGGGTCCATCATGCCTAACGCAATGCCTTGCGTATAAGTGACATGTTGACCGGGCAAAGGAGTCATCTCGAAGCGCGCAACAATGCTAGCAACAACAATCTTAGCTTCAAGAAGGGCCAAAGTTTGACCGACGCAAATCCGCGGACCAGCACTAAAGGGTGCAAATTTCGTCGATGTCATTGGAATTATTTCACCCGTGTCACTGTCAAGAAATCGATCAGGATTGAATTTTAAGGCATCGTCGCCCCAGACGCTAGTTAGTCGTCCACACGAGAAAAGGGCAATGCCTATATCTGTGCTTGCCGGTACAAATGTTCCGTCTGGAAGTACAGTGTCTTTGATGCAATGAGTGGTGATCAATGGTCCTGATGGGTACAAGCGCAATACCTCACGGACACATGCTTCCAGATATGGCACACTGTTAACATCGGTCACCGACGGAGTATAGTATTTATCAAAAGTGAGCTTAGGAATCTTAGCTTGAAGCTCAGTACGCAGCTTCGCTTCAGCTTCTGGATTCTGACTAAAAAGATGAAACAGCCATCCAATACAACCAGCAGTAGTGTCACGACCGGCGATGATTGACGCAATAGCAATGTTCCGCACCTCGACAGGGTTCACAGGTATTCCATTAGATTCCATTTTATCAAGCACAATCGACACAATATCCTTATCGGCAAGAGTGACTGGACGACCAATTTCCTGCTCTTCAATACGACGATGACGACGTTCGACAGCATCGGCAATGATGCCCATTAGATATTCATCAATCAAACGCACGTTCTCCTTCAACTTCTTTTCGTCGCCCAAGTTAAACCAACGTCGCAACTTCCAATACCAAACGGGCTGTTTAAAGCGCTTGCCGGAAAGAAATTGGGCTTCGTCTATCGCTTGAGCCAGAGGTTGATACGCTCCATCCATCGAGCCCATTTTTGCACCAAAGCCGATTTCGCCAAACACATCAAATGTATAGCGATTCAAAAGCTCAAAAACGTCTAGTGGAGTGTTGGTTGTTGCCGCAGATGTCAATATCTCGACAAGCTGTAAAGTGTATTTCTGTATGATCGGCGTCATGTGCTCGCGCAGCGCACGGGCACTAAAAAGTCCAACGACAACATTGCGCTGTCGCTTCCACGTCTCGCCATTAGTGAGCACGATACCATCGCCCAATACATCGTAGAAGACGTCGTGTATATACTCACTTTTGGGAAAATTGTCGAATTGTGTTTTGAGCACAGCCTCAAGATGTTCAGGTTTCGCGATAAACATCATGTCATCCTTGCCGGGAAGACGGACAATAAATGCCTCACCGTTTGTGGCAGCAAAATGATCGGCTAGCCAATCGTGCATGCGCGGTGCATTTACAGCAAGTTCAATTGCGTTGCCCAAAATGGGCAGCGTACCTGGCAGGATGACAGCCTGCTTGATTTTGTCACCTTTTCTCTTACTGGAGGCTTGGGTCCAGCAAAAAGTGACTAGCAATGCCGCTGTGATAAGGCCAGGCACCACGGACGACTTGAAAAGAGACTGCAGCATATTGCACACTTAGCGCGTCTAGTACTGACCTAACTATCAACTGAAGGACAACCGTTGCTAATAACATAAACAAAAAAAAGTGCAGCAGATTCTGGGTTAATGACTGGTGACGCACCAGAAATACTCCTTAAACGCGACAGAGAATCCAACGGCATGTATCTCTGCTGAAATAGGTACCTTGGTTTTTATAGGTTTGTTATTTATACCATTATCATGGTAAAAGAATTTCGGGACTCTACTTGCGAATCGAGAAAGAGATCTTTTGCTGGGGCACAACATACCGACGATGCAAGCTTTTCCTTTGGTCAGACGAATTTTGCGTTTTATCGACTCAGTCGTAATGAATAATGTCAACACTCTTTAATATCTAAAGAAATAGTATTGCAATATCGTCATATTCTACTCGAATTCTTTCTTCTGCTTTATATCCCGTATGTTTCTCGCTTAAGACGTATTTCATTCTTGAACTCAAACGAGCTTGAGAAGCATGTATTTTGATGAGAGATGGTATGATAGAATTCTTTTGGTGGGCACACTATTTATATGCACACAGTAATACAAGACGTAGGGAGAACATTAAATATTTAACCTCGAAAAGATCGAAGGCAAACATGAAGCAGCAACAATTTAAAGCAAAACGAGCGGCGTTTGTGCAGATAGTGTACAGATGTTAAATATGATCTTAGAGCAGATCAAGGGATTTACGAATCTGGTAGATAACTTGAAAAGATATAGCAAATGTCAATGCAACTTGCGCATATCGCGCATGCGAGACGGAGCAACGGGATTCGCTGCGGCCTTGCCAGTTTCTGAGATCTAGTTCATAAGAAGCCAGGTCATGCGCATGCACCATAAATCAACGATCAAAAATTAATAGTATCGACCGGTATGCACCAGCTACGCGAATTCATAATTTGAGTTGGATTCCACGTGGTTAACTTACAGACCGAGCGAGCAATCGAGCTTTACAGCTTGAGAAAGATTTCTCATTTGATATTGAGTTTTTTATAAGGAACGGAATCTGTTCTTTAAGTGTAAATTGTTAGCACTTTGGACAACGGCTTAGAAGTCCTCCACAACACCTTAACAAAATTCAGGTTTGCCTTTTTATCCCTCCTTTCTGTCGACATCATGTAAATGAAAAGTAATGAAAGCAGAAACAGCAGGAGTCAACTTCTTCACTATAAAATGTGGCTCCGAATCTTTGACCTTGACAGAGTTTATTCGCAGAGTGCAAAGAATTTCCGTATCGATATAGAAGATCGATATCGCTTGGAAATGGAGTCTCGGCATTTCTAGCTTTGCCATTTCGAGGATTTAAGCTCAAAGGTAAGTGTGAACAATTACACACTTATATATTATATCACCGGCACTTTGAACGCCATTCAATGATCCAATGTTTTCACCTTTTCAAAGAACATCGGAAAGCTATCAAATATTCGCGAATGCTAAGAATGATTATAACGATATGCACTCGAGCACGTGCTGCTTCATTCGTAACAGTCCTGAGTCCAATTACTGATTTCTTGCCGCGAAGCCTACCAAATGTAATCTGATTTATCTGGATCAAAAGAAAATTACACTCACTTCCGCAATCATCGACGTCAATTTCAACATTGCATTTACCACTGTAAGATGTACATGCTCGAGCAGATCTTCAAAAACTTAAATCCATTCATTTGTCAGCTTTCATTGAATTCTGGAGCGCAACATTAGAACGTCGCAATCTGGATATCGCGGTATTGATGACGACAAGCATTACGGGACTATCTATTATCTATTTAAGGTAGTGGTAATTTTTTTGCCCAAGCCTTTCTGGATGCTAAGAAACTCAGACGATAGACGTAGTTGGCCGGGTGTTATCTTGAGATACGTGATACTCTGGTCATCTTCAGGTCAAAGGAGCATTTTAAGTTTTGAAGAAGTTTATTATTTGGCCTTCAGTCCGTGAAAACATGAGCTTCAAGGACACGCACAATGCTTAAGGATGTGGGGAATGAGCAAGTGGAAGACATGCAAATATAGGAAGACAATCTAGGAGCAATAGTCTTGGTGAGCTACGCTGGCTACAACAATTGGGATGTGTACATTTATCACCACTTCATTTTGCAAACTGCAAAGCAGAAATTAGTAGCAACTGACTATATCAGCACGAAAGCAGTATGCTAACAAACGTAATCGATCCAACATCCGGATGAATGCTTGTGGTGATTAACAGCAAACATCCTATAAGAAATCGATATGATCTGAGGGCGCATTTTTCCGTTGCGGATGACTGTGATCTGGACCGAAAGCACATGAAAAATCGACATCTTCGGCATTTTTCTAACCGAATCGCCCAGCCATATCGTTATTGTAGCGTGTCTGCTTGGTTATGATCGACCTGGTTGTCACGTCGAGATCAATATCTCGATCCATGGCTAGCTTTGCCTCACGGAGACCGTCAGTCTTGAGATACTCTTTAGCCTACCTACACGCAAATTATTGCCACTTGACTTGGCAGTGTGATCATATCGTTGATATATCGACAAACAAGCACAAAACCTTGTTCAGACCCTTCAACCTGACGCACTGACCCGCTTTACGGCCATGGGGTCATTTTGTGACACATTATCTGACGTATAGTTCGATGATTTTGCCTTAAGGTGGATTTGTTTGGCTAGTATGCAATCCATCCTCGAAATTTTTATCTCACCTCTCAAGATTTGCTGAGGTGCGTAAAAGGTAGCGTTGTACGTCTATTGTAAATATTATGCTACGATAGGATTGTTTTGAATCAATGTATCTGTTTTGAAAAACGCCATTTGCCAGAAATTCCTTATCAAGAACAAAGCTATCTAAAAGGGTCACAACGAATCACACTTTTAAAACAAATCGGCTGGATTTTTTTGCGGTAACGACTATTTCAAACCATTGAATGTTGAATTGCCCATTCGCTAAGAAAGTTAATTGAGCATTCCTCTTGCTGACTTGACAAACACTTACTATTCTGGAGTAGCTGGGGGAGATGGGGTGAGTGTGGAGATTCGGCGTCTATCGTGACTCATCGAGATAAGTGGTGCGTTATTGAAACAATTAAAGAATGGCGAAGCTTGCATAAGCAAAATAAAAACGATCAGCGCCATACTACGTGGCCGAAAGTCAGTGTAAGCTGGTCCGAGGAAGCACGATCTTGTGTAAGAACTCGGTATTAGAGCTTTATTCGGTGGTTGCAAGAAGGGCAGTCTAAACCTTATAGCAATTTTGGAACGCTTGCTGACGGAATGTCAAATTCATCAAAGTGAATTCCCATGAATATAGTGGACACAGGAGAACGCTATCGACGATACCGCATAGCACATATCAAAGTTTTAGACAATCACTCACGCGATGGGGTGGCGTATTTTCCAGCTAAGATGTATACCCCTTTTCAAATCTGTTGTTATCCACTCTGTTAGCATCGAAGGAAATTCGACTTGCCGAGCACGTCTTTACATACAATGACAACTGACGCGGAATAGGATAGGCGCGAAGCGAAGGAGGTCGAGTATGATCTATAAACAGAACAGAACATGGACTTTGGGGTCAAAGCGATTTCTGAAGAAGGCACAACAATATTCATTGCTGATAGCTAACTGAACCTGCGATCCATAGCAATGATGTTAGCGGTTCAAAGGATGTTTGTCGAAAAAGGTTGCACAATTTCCCAATAATCAACGTTTGAACGCATATTCGTGGTGCCACCAACCGAACAAACTTGATACTGTAATGTCTTGCACCCATTATTGCGCGGTAGGGTTTGTTGGATGGGGAATCTTTTCTCCCTGTGTAGTTGCTATAAGTTATGTAGTGAAAACAGGACTGAGACTTTTGGTACTTAAACACGACCCCCTGTGCTGTGCATATGAAGCTCTCGGACTTTGAG